AGAACTCCAGGAACGTCGCTGGCAGCGTTCCTCAGCACCTCACACACCATGGATCCTCTGCGGCGACTTCAACAAGCCGCGCGAAGACATGGTGCAATCAGGGTGGACAACCGCCCTCGGTGCTACGGCATACGTCGGGCTCGGCAACGACCAGCGCACCTGCTTCCTTGGCGACGGTCCGCCCTCCAGCAACGTCTACGCGATGGCCAGCGACGGCGGGCAACGACTCGTTTGAGGAATCGTACCAGTGCGCGAAGTACTTTGGAAGCCACACATCGGGCTCGACATCGCCATCAGAGCAGACGCGGACTCCAACCTCAACCGACGACTACAGCCACCGAAGGCCTTCCCACGCCCAACACAGCCTAACAAGACCAAATCGACGAAGAATAATATGAAGAGACAGAGGAGCACAACGACGAAGCCCACGACTACGACACCGTCCGACCAAGACGCCGAGTATTCATCACGAGGGGAAGTGCTTGGACCATACGGATGGCAACACCACCCAACCACTGCAACCACGACCACCCCAACGCAACGCCACCACCCCGACACATCACAACGGACGAAGACGGAGGCGTCCCTCCCGACTTCGTGGACGACGTCTTCAGCGAATTAGCCCTACACCACGACGCACCACTACTCTACCACCACCTACGACGACGCCCACGACGTGGACTACCCTCAAGGCGCCACCGAGGCTCGAAGGGACGAGGCCAGCAGCTTGGAGAGCACCACTGTGGAGCCGAATTCGGAGCTGAACGAGGACATGGGCTGCGCGGGCGCTCAAAGGGCACTTCAGCAGATGCCGCGACCCGATTGTCTTTATGCGCGACGATACGTGCGAGGTTGCAAACACGATACACCGCGGCCCCAACAGGCCCGCCCCGCACCCGACACTGCGCCGCCTACCAGGCCGACCCCGACAACGCCGACCAGCTAGGCGCGCCATGCCAACACCTCATCAGTGCGCTTGCGTCGTTCTACTGCACCGCGTTCCACATCCCACTGGAAGACGGCCACCACCTTCTCGGACGCGGACAGGCCCGCGCATCCAAAACGCAACAGCCACGAGAGCCCGACCGCCATCAAAGACACGCGCCCGCCAGATCCGACTTGCGGAGCCGCGCGGAGAATTCCCTCAGCGCATTGGCCAAGCACCGACAGCCAGCCCGCGGACAGCAACAACAGCGCAGACAACGCGCCGCAAGACGACGCCTGGTACGCGAATGACGACCACCACCAGGACGCAATACATAGGGCCCACCACGACTGCACCACCAACCTAGCGACGGACACAGTGCCGACATGCCCATTGACGTCGCCCAGCCCGAGCCAAACACGGCAGGACAGCAACCAGCGCGACAGCGCGACGACAAGGCGCGCCAGCAGCAGCACGACGCTGCGTCCAGCGCCAGCACCAACAGAACTCCCAGGACCCAACCTGCCGCGACCATCGGCGAGGAGGGAGAGGACGAGCACCCCCTGCGTCCACGCGCGGGGGCAGTTGGGGGAAGCCAGCGATTAGATGCATTTCAAGGCCCTCGCCCGCGGAACCAGACTGCTCCAACCCTGCAAGACGAGTCGCGCAGCCGACGCAGCGCCGTCGCTGACAGGGGCGTGACCCCAGCGCCACTTTCACCCCCAGCGACGGCAGCACGACGCGCAGCGCCACCGCAGCAGCACCACCGCGACAAGCACACCGACAGCAGCACCAATCTGACCAGCACGACGAGCAGCGCGACTGGCATGGGCGATGCAGCTACTGCCACCTCCCCTAGAAGGCATGCCGTGCAGGGCGCCCAGAACTTGCGCGCTGGGGGCGCTGCACGGGGTGCTGAGCATCTCGGGGGCGGGCCGCGGCCATCGCGGAGGGCGCGCTCGACGCCGTGGCCCCACGCGCTTCCGCAAGACGCGCGTGGAGGGGTGGGTGGCCCCCAGGGGCGCGGCCCACCCGAGCCGAGCCGCGGGCCGTGCGTGGCCCCCGCAGGACGCGGCTCCAACCCGGCAGGGCAAAGCAGCTGCGGGGCGCAGTACCGACGCGAGCAGGGACAAGACGACGACACCACCACCAGCCCCAGCGACAGCAGTGGACGGCGACGAGAAGAGACGGTGGAGATGGGTGCTACGACTCCTCAGCGAGACCACTTGCCAGCAACGCCGCGGTGAGCAGCAGCGCAACGTCGACCAGCACGACGTGAACCCGCGACAGCAGCGCCAACGTGACCAGCACGTCGACAGCATAACCATTGCGACACGCACGACGCGCAGTGGGACTGGTCTGGGCGACGCAGCGACTGCCACCTTCCTTGGAAGGCATGGCGCGCAGGGTGCCCAGCACACGCGCGCGGGGGGCGCTGCGCGGGGCGCCGAGGATCTCAGGGGTGGAACGTGCCCTACGCAGAGGGCACGCGCGCCCCCATGGCTCCACGCGCCTCCGCGAGACGGGCGCGCAGATGTAGACTGCCCCCAGGGGCGCGGCCCGCCCGAGCCGCGGCCCGCGCGCGCCCCGCGCGGGGCGTCCGCGGGGCGGCCGCGGCCCGCGCGCGGCGGCCGCGGCCGCGGAGAGAGAGTCAGCCATCGCGGCTGGGGGGGTGGGGGCCTCTGGGAACCTCTTCGTCCTCATCCTCCTCAGTATCTTCTTTCTCTCATTTACTTTATAAAGAATTATCCCTGCCGCGCCCCGGTTTTAGCTTTTAGGCTGGACCAGGCACTCATGATTCTGAAGCGTGAAAGAGCGACAGCTTCGCATATTGAGGGCGGGGGGGGTCCAAATCAAGCTCCTGGTTTAGCGCCGCGCGCATGCATTTCAACAGTGTGCATGAGTTTCGCGGATTGAGGGCGGGTGGTTTTGAGAATGCTGTTCTCGCTTTAGTGCCGCGTGCGTGCGTTTTCACCATTGCGAGAGCGTCGCGGATTGAGGGCTGGTCTTTTTCCCAAATGTGGTTGTTGAGTTGGAGCCGCGCACATTCGCTTTAGAAATTTGCAAGAGTGTCACAGATTGAGGGCGGGTGGTTTTCAAACTAACGCTCTCGCCGTAGCGCCGCGCGCATTTGCATTGGACGTTTGCAAAGGTTTCACGGATTGAGGGCGGGGGGGGATGAAAATGTTCCCCTCGCTTTAGCGCCGCGCACATTCGTTTTGAATATTGACGAGAGCTTCGCGGATTGAGGGTGGGCGGTTTTGAAAATATTGTTGTCGCTTCAGTGCCGCGCGCATTCGCTTTAACATGTGCAAGGGGTTCACGGGTTGAGGGTGGGTGTTTTATTTATACAAAAAATGTATTGATTTATTGCAGCGCATTCAACAGTTTCGCAAATGGACGGCGGGTGGTTTTCAAAAGAAGACTCTCGCTTTAGCACCGCGCACATTCGAATTAAACGCTTTCAAGCAAAAAAAACTTCACTGATTGAGGGTGGGTGGTTTTGAAACTGTAACCCTCTCGCCTCAGCGCCGCGCGCATTTGTTTTAAGCATGTACAACAGCGTCGCGGATTGAGGGCTGGTTTTGTTCAAACTGTGGCTCTCGTTTCAGCGCCGCGCGCATTCGCTTTAAACATTTGCAACAGCTTCACGGATCGAGGGCGGGTCGTTTTCGAAATGTGGGTCTCGCCCCAGCGGCGCGCACATTCGCGTTGAAAAATAAAAAAAAAATCACGGATTGATGCGGGTGGTTTTCAAAATGCAACCGTCGATTGAGCGCCCCGCGCATTTTAACATTGCAGGAGCGTCACGGATTCCCATGATCCGCGTACCAGAAATGGGTGCTGTGGAAGGATTCAGGGTAACGCGGGCGCAACAGTTATGCTGATTCGCGGTGCTCAAGTCCCCCAAAATGGCCTTTCGACACGGTTCCAGGTCGTCGGGACACAGTTGCCAGGTTGATTCGCAGCGTGGACATTTCGAAAACAATTTTATGGCATGGTTTAAAGTCTTCAAATGGTTGTCTTCCAACGAGGCAGTTCCCTCAATGGAAATGAACCACTGTAGGGGTCTATGAAGAGGGAGCTTGGAGGGCGGGTTAATTCCAACATCGCTGATGACCGTTGGGTTTACACTGGTCCTCCTCCTCCTCCACCTCATCCGCGTCAGTTTATTTGTTTCCTCTTCCTCATCCGCATCCTCCTCCTCCTCCTCCTCCTCCTCCTCCTCCTCCTCCTCCTCCTCCTCCTCCTCCTCCTCCTCCTCCCCCTCCCCCTCCCCCTCCCCCTCCCCGTCCTATTCGTTTTCCTTTTCCTCCTCCTCCTCGGTTTCCTCCTCCGCCTCCTCCTCATCTTCTTCCTCCTCCTCCCAGGAAGCGTCACAAATGAACATTCTCGGATGTCCGTGCGGAGTTCTTGGGTCGGCGCCCGACCGCCCCTGGCGGCGTCTCCAGCGCCGCCCCTGGCGCGCTTCGCACGGCTTATATATACACAAACACACATCGTTGGTGTATATATATATGTATGTATGTTCACAGACCTCGCGTATCGCACGGTGCGTTGTCCGAGTGCTTTGCGCAACTCTGCAAGCTGTCCAGTAAAAGTAGCATGCATTCGAAGACACCGACTGCTTATTTGTATAGTGTATCTTGCATAGTGTATGTTGTTCTTCCTCTGTCGGGAGGCACGGCAGGGCGTCGGGAGGTTCAACGCGTGGCTAGTCTGCGCACTTGTCGAGGTCGTCGTCGTGGTCGTCGCGGGCGTCGCCGTCGTCACCCAGATTCCGCGGTGGTGCCCGAGGCTGCAACCCCGCGGCCTCGCACGGTTGGTCTGCCCGGCCCCTTATTTGGTCCGCCGTTCGGCGCCAATTTTGACCGCCCTTCACACAGATGCCGCATTTGAGGTAGGAATGGCTTTTTTGACCGGAAATCAAAAAAACAAACAGTATTTAAGAATTGTTTGCCAGGTATGAAAATTGGTTGACCCGTGATTTTTCGAGAGGTGGTCGTCCGTAGAAGCACCGGGGGAAGCATACAAAGCAATAAACGGTTATTATAACACGCCCCAACGTGCCGAGGGCACCGTGGCGGATGTTGGTTGGTGCGTTTTGTCGTGTCGCCATCGAAGTTGCTGGTATCGAAGAGGATCTGCATAAGATCGAGTATCTTCGCAACCACCTTCAGGGCATCATAGAGTGCTACATGGAAGACGGTGTGAGACTGATTAGTTGTAGTCAGTTTCTTCTGGCCATGACCAATGCGGATGTGCTGCAGACTCTCCGCGCGTGTGGGACTGACATTGACGGGCTCATGACGTTGGTAAGTGTGTTATTCCCTGATGAGGAATCCGTGATCTCGTTTGACGAGTTGTTCTCTGTCATAGTGCGCCTCCGTAAAGCAAAGCCCGCCAGCATTTCCGACATGTTGGGGCTTCAGGAGTTCACGAAGTTGAAGTTTGATCTTCTCGAGGAGCAGATCCTGCGCGAAATTCGTGACATCAAGAAGGTGAAGCATCCACATGATTTGAAAAGCAGCAGCACCTTGAGGAGCACCTCAAGGCAGAACCCCTCAAGGCTGGGAGACAGAATACTCTAATCAGACCCATGTGTGATTACGTAGGGGGTTCCCTTCGAGGAACTGCCCCGGCCAAGCCCCAACCGCCCCCAATATTCTTTGGTCTGGTTAGGGTGTCCGTGCTCCCTCGCAGGGGCACTGATATCTCCAGGATGCGCAGCATGCTCGAGTCTCAGGGCGAGGTCGTGGTGGTCTCGCCGCAGAGCGCCAGGCCACGCAGTGCCAGCGATAAGCGGAGGTCGGTTGCCAACATGATCCTGAATCAATGGACCAGCTGACCAAGGCCGCCGAGACACGAGTGGGGGTCTGAGTACAGTTGCGCTTCAGGGGGGGGCCGTCCCCCTCTCTATCTCTCTCTCTCTCTCTCTCTGTTTCCCTGTCCTCTTCAGCCTCGCTCCTCCCTCGCCACCTCCGCCTCCCTCTGCCTCGCGCTCCGCCTCCCCCCCTTCTCCACCGCCCTCTCTCCTGTTCGGCCTCGCTCTCGTCCTCCATATCTCCTTCTCCACTTTACGTGCTCCTCCTTCTTTCCTCACTCCTCCTGCTTGCTGCCTGTTGTGACCCCTCTTTGTTGCCATTTTCGGGCGGCATTGGAGTTCCCTTGAGTCGTTGTTCCCAAGGCTCCACAATATGAGAAGCAAGACTCCGTTTTTTTTGTGACGCATGGTTATTGGATTTCGTTGGTCTCTTCGGGTATTGGGCTGACCACCTGGATTTCAATACCTCGCAAGAGAGTCCCAAGAGGGCCCCATGTGCCTTCCGTTGCGCCGCGCGCTTGTAGTGCATGTCAATGCTCGTAATACTTGTTCGTGCCAACGCCGTCCTACGCTGGAGGATCCAGTGCGCCAGCGGCCAGGATTCAGCTATCAATGTCATTCCTAAGTGTCCGCTCGGCGTCACTCTGAAACGAACGTGGACAGTCGTCCAACGTTCTCCGCCGCCGCCGGCGCTGTAGACGCAGAATATCATGTTTCACAAGAGCACTTGCTCGAGAGGTCATAGTCTATCTGTTTCACTGGCGCGGGGCATGCTGCCCCCCCCCGAGTTTCCTGGGCCCCTGGGCCTTCCCCTGGGCCTCACTGCGTTATTGTGTACCATGCTATGATGAGCCCTAAATTTTGGCCCTGTCATCACTGCCAGCGAATACTACGCAGTTGTGTGCAGCGCTACGCATATGAGGTTCAGATTATGTTGTCATCTGTGCTTCTGTTGCTTCGTCGCAGCACTTGGGCGTCGCATTCTAATCGAACGTGGACCGAGAAAAAAAAACAAAAAAAACATACTTGTGCACCAAACAGGGGTCTCGCCTGAGCGTCGATTCAGGTTAGGTCCGTCTGATCTGTCCGAATTTGGTATCCCTGGTTTGTCCCAACCACCTTGTGCTTTTGTTCGTTTGGGGCCCGCAGCGCCCCGCGTTTCCTCTCGTCCTCTCCTCCTCCCCACCCCCCTTCTCCACGATCCCTGCATCCGCCCTCCGTATGTCCTTCTCGTGATCATCAGCTCCCATCACTGTTTCTGCCTGCCGCATGCCATGTCGGCACACCCCTCCCAAGTGTCGTGGTCCCGTAGGGAGCTCTATTGAAGACCCCAGTGGCGGCGTTCGCTTTCGCTTCCCCACCCATTTCAGCACAATCCTAATTCGTTTCAGGGATCTGCACATACGTCCCCAATGACAACGTTCGCACACGTTTCCCCGCCCCGTTCGATCACCGAGATTTGGGCCTTTGGGTCCCACCAAGAGCTTTCAATGCTTACTACTGAAGATTATGGAGACCTGAAGACAATCCACGCAGTGCATCGCCGCACGTTGCCGGATTTGCCACGTGGACAGGCAATGTGTATCTATACGCATGTTTGTTTGCCGTGTGTGATTGTTACGTTTGCATGTGATGTACGCGTGCCCATGATGTGTGTTGTTCATGCAGTTGTGTTTGACTTGTGACTTGTAGATCTGTCCATCATGTCGTCATTCGTCACGGACGTCAGGCGCGAGACTCATGGATCACCGGGATAAGGGGCTTGACGGACGCCGCACGCTGTTCATAATGCCATCACCCGTCGAGGATGCGAGGCGGGACCCCCCAGGGACCACCGAGACACCTCGGGGCCTGGCGGCCGCGATACGCAGGGCGGGCGAGGTCGGGTTGGAAATTCCTCCTCTTGAGGCCCTACAGTCAGGAGGGGAAAAAACACACAGACACAATTATTCGTCGATTCCCAGAAAATATGCGAAAATATGGGAAGTGGGGGGGAAGACAGAAACCCAGAAAATATGGGAAAATGTGGGGATTTGTTTTATTCGTGTGTATTTATTCGTGTGTCCCAGGGCCCCTTCATACAGTCAGCACGGATAGAAAGGATAAGCGACTGTCTATGGTTTCCTTCGTCCATCCGTTCCCTTCGGCCCATCCCTGCTGGCCGCGCCCCGCTCGAGACATGCCGGCATGGCCCTGCACGGCGCGTCGGGCGCGCGGGGCCCTCGCCCCGCGGCTCGCCGCCGGTGTGCGGTGGCACGGCGTGGTCCGCGCCCGGGCGCGTGGAGGAAGCCAGAGCTGCATCCTCAGTGCAGTGGATCGGGCGAAGAGAGCTACAGTCGGGCCGAGGTGTAAGATCGAGGCTGGTTCGGGGAGGGTACCCTAATGTTCTTCGTGATTGTTGGATGTTATTTTGCATCCTGGGGGAGGGTACCCTCGAATGGTCTTGGGGTTTGGTGTGCTTTGGCTGGCGGAGGGTCTCATGTTCTTGAAGGATGTTCTTCTGGCCTAGGTCCAGCTGTATGCACATGCACCGATCCTGACAACGTCCATCCTTGACCCAGGATCTGTGCATATACCTTCCTGGCCAAGGTGAGAGGGCGTATGCACCGATCCTGGGCTCAGGATGCGCCTGGCCAGAATCGGTGTATGTGCACAGTTCTCTTTCTTCTAAGTGGAGGCCCACGCCAAGAAGCACCCTTCCTGCCTCCGGGGTGCCTTGGGTTTCTTGGGTTCCGGTGGTTTTGCAACGGAAAGCGTGACGTTCCCACACCAACAATGGACGTCCTGGGGTCTCAGGATCGGGTTTCTTGGAAGGTGTCTTGTGTAGTGGCCTCCACTGTAGGGTGTAGTGTCGTATAAGAAAAACTGCATAAACATAAACTGTTGGCGCTCCGCGCGGATTTCTTGGATCCGCGCTGGGCCCCCCGGCGGCGCCTCCGGCTCCGCCCCTGGCGCGCTCCGCACGCCAGGGAGGGAGTTCCAGAGGAATCCGCGCGGAGCGGCAAAAAGTTTATGTTTATGCCGTTTGTTTATTATTCTATAGTGGGCAAAGTCTCTTAGTCTCTTAGCAGGATGCCGCTTCTCAGTAGGCGCGGGCCTCATCTTTTCACGTACGGCCGGCGCCTTCAGGAAGCAGCCTTTTTTTCTAAGAAGCCTTCCCCCCTCCCCCTACCCCCCTCTGCGCGCCGCCTAAGCCTGTAGATTCGAGGATCGTCTAGGATCGTCGAGGATGGAACGCTGAAGTCGTTTCATGGCTGGGGGGCTTTCGCAGGATAGCCGCACATCGCGTGGCACGTGCCCCGCAGCAGTCAGGTGACATGACCGATCCTCGAGACCCCTGGAGGCCCCCACTTCCGGGGGCCCCCGAGGGCAAATAGAAGCTCGACCGGAGGCCGCGGGAGCCCTCGGCCCTCAAGCGGCGACGCGGCGCCGGGACCCTCCCCGAGGAGTCCCTGTGGAACATCGTGCTCCCCTGGGGCGGCTCAAAGGCCCCGTCGGGCGCCGCTCGCCCCCCTCGCCCCCTCCCACACCCCACCCCGCACGCTCCCGCCCGCCGCCGCTTCGCCTTTCTGGGTCGTTGCGGCCGCCACGGCCGCCGCCGCCGCAGTCGTCGTGGACGATGGCGTCAAGGATCGAGGAGCGCGGTTCGAGGTGCATGGGGAGTGTCTTGGCGCGCCCCCGTCACCCACGAGCGGGTCCGCCTCAAAATCTTGGCCAGAGCTCACCCCAGGCGGGGCCATGGGTGGGCGAACTCCGGGACCGATCCGCTAGAGTCCCGCATGATGCTCTGCTGGTGAGCCGAGGTCGCGTGGGGGGCACGAGTGTTAGGCGATAGTCCAAGTTTGGGCAAGGGTGGGATGAAGGGGGAATGACCACCTCCTCCATCCTCCTCCTCCTTCTCCTCTTCCTACTCCTCTTCCTCCTCCTCCTCCTCCTCCTCCTCCTCCTCCTCCTTCCGTAGCCATTTTGGCTCAAGTGCCATCAGCGGCAGCGCGTGTCCGTGGGCACCTGGGCGGGCAGCCTCTCTTGAAGGGGCATTCTTGGGGTCAAGCCCAAGCGGACACCTTTTCTTTCTTCCAGGGGTTCTCCCTCCTGGCATTGCCGCCATGGAGGATTCTGCAGTCGTCGCCCAGCTGACTGCTGTGATTCAAAACACGGTGAAGGGCTTGCAGACTCAGCTCGAGGCTCGGTTCCGGTCTGTTGAGACGAACGTGACTACCCTCACCCAGCACATGGGGAATGCCGAGGCCCACATCACCGCCATCAACAATCAGCTTACGGAGGTCATGAAGAAGCAGTCTCGACAAGACGAAGAGCTGCGACAACTTCGAGCACGACCCGTGTCTTCCACTGCTTCCACATCTTCGGGGGGGCAGCAGTCCTGGGCGTCGAGGCTGGTCAATGACGAAGGCAACAAACGACGTCGGGGAGAAGATGACACTGGTGGCGATCCAACTACTAAATTTATTGGTCGCTTCCCTCGCCCAGTCCTCGAGCGAGTGCGCAGGAGTCACTTTGACAGCCTGAAGGCGCAGTACCCTGACCTCCTGGCCAACGTGGAGGCCAAGTTCTTCGCCATAGCCCAGAGCTACTCTATCATCTTCCGGAACAAGGATGACGCCAGCCAATTCCAGAGGGAAGCCAATCGTGCTGGTGTAGTGTGGACTGATCCGAGGTCTCAGCTCCCACACCAGCTTCGGGCGCGCGCTGACCTTCCCCAGCCTGTTCGCAACAAGAAGCGTGCATTTCACAAACTTTGGCTTCCAGTTCGAGACCTATTACAGCAATCGTACATGTGGTCGCCAGATTGTCAGCTCGGCATTGACGGCTTCCGCGGAGTGGTGAGGATGAAGAATGACCTGGACGTGTGGAACCTGATTGAGATCAAGCAGGTCAGCATTCGCAATGGTGAGGAGCAGTTCACATTCGAACCCAATTTCGAGGAGCTCGAGGGGCGGGGCATCACCAGGGGGACTATCATGACCCGGATTGAGTCCCAGGCGCCAGTTGTCTCTGACAGTGCTCCTGATATGGAGTACTGACGCGCTCCCTCACAGTCAATTAGTATGTCTCAGCGTGCGGTGCCTTTGTGCAGCTCTTCCTTTTCCTCCTCCTCCAACTCTACCTCTGAATCCAGTACCTCGTCTGACTCTGACTCTTATTCCGAGACCAGCTCCAGCGTGAGTGCCGAGGCCGAGCGTGGTTGTTCTCCGTATGTCCCGAATCAGAAGTTCTCGATTGTGACGTGGAACGCACGCACTGTATTTGGATCCGTGTGGGGTAGTCATGATATGCAAGCGCGCACATATAAGTCCGTGGGTGATCTTATGAGTGCACACGACATTGCATGCACGCAGGAGACGCACGGCACGCCCAGTGACGTCACATCGCTCGAACGTGATTTAAAGGGGCACCCCCACTTTGGCAGCTTCTGTCCAGACCAGCCTGGCGCTGGAGGCGTTGTCACCAGTGTGCGCAAGAGTCTTCGAGAGCAGTTCGAGAATGTAGCCTTCCCCGAGGTCGTGAAGGGGAGAATCACGTCCTTGGGATTGCATGGGCCGCAAGCTTCACTCCAGATTATCAATGTTCATGTTGTTCCTGGGCCCCCTCACGGTGTTCTTCTGGATCAGTTTCGGAGAGTGAAGCGTGCGATGTGGTCATCAGTGACCACCGCTGTCTGTCTTCTCGGCGTCGCTTTGCGCTGGAGTTTCGGAAGTGCTTCCCTTCCTTGCTCGAGGTCGCCCCGGCCACCTTCACCCCACCGCGCGAAGACAGATGAAGTTTTTTCGCTGGCGCGCATGGACAGGATATACACTAGTTTACCTACCGCAGATGTACTGGACTTGGCTCCTGAGAGTTCCACGTGTTGGCCCCCTACGGACCTCAAGAAGCCCTCAGAGCATGCCCTTCTTTATCTGAAGCTGCGTCGTCCTGATCATAGACCGCGCTCGAACAATATCCCACCTTGGATAGCAAGGCACCCGCGGTGTTACGCACATCTCTCTGCTCTTCTTCATCTTTCTGACCTCTCTGCTGACCCCGATGAACGTCTTCAGGAAATAAAACAAGTCATGAGACATGCTGCTGTTCAAGTTAGATTAGACGTGCTCTCGGATGGTGCTACCACCGACGAAGAGCGCTTGGCATGTGCGCTGAAGCTACTGCGAGCTGCCCGCTCACTTCCACCCCAAGCCTGCCCTGATTCGTGTCCTGCTCTCCTTCGGCACCTCCTCGGTAAAGCTAAATATGTACTTCGTGCTTATCCTGAACTATCGCAGTATCATTGTATCGCTCGAGGTGAATTGACAGACAGGATTGGGCTCTGTTCGCAAGTCAGTGAACTGACGCGCCGTGCGCTTGCCGCTGAGGAGCGTGGAGTCGCTGCTCGTGAATTAGCGCCATCTAAGAAAGACCAGCATATTGCACGTATTCGCAGGCTTTCTCGTGCTTTGGCTAAGAATAAGCCGAAGATCTTCCTCGCCGCTGTTTTTGACGACGACGGGTCCGAGCTTAGCGAGGATTCTGCCATGGGTCAGAAGCTGTCTGAGTATTGGGGGGAGGTTTTCTCTCGGATTCCGCGTGATCTCCAGGGTGCCCCCAGGTTTCTGGACCTCATCCCGACCCTCCCCGACGATCCCTACCAGTTCACCAACTCCACCCACCAGCGGGCCCCCTGGGTCCTGACCGAGGATCAATTTTTCGGCCTCCTCAAAAGCAAGGTCGACTCCAGTCCAGGACCCGATGGCATTCCGCACAGCGCCCGGCAGTGCCCGCACCCGTTTCTCAAGCAGGCCCCTTGGGAACACTATCTCGCCTTCATGAACACCCAAGTCTTTGCGAGCGATTTCATCTACTCGAAATTGGCATTCTTACCGAAAGGCGTGAGTGTTCCTGGAGCTGTGGCCAAGGCGCGCGGAGGCACGCGACCGCTTGCCTTGAGCAACACTGGCAATAAGATCGTCTCCTCCTGCGTAGCATATCCTCTCATGCAAGTGGCCAAGGATAAACTGCGCTATGCTCAACGTGGTTTTATGTCGGGTCGGTCCCTCGCTGACAATATAATCGAGTTCGACGGTCGGTTGATGACGCGGCAAGCATTGGATAATTCGCAGGCTGCTGGAGGCGCCCTCTTTGACATGAAGAGCGCTTTCCCATCGGCGCACCACTTCTGGCTCTTTCTAGTACTGCAGCGCTGGCGCTTCCCGCCGTTCCTCATTAACTGTTTAAGGTCTCTTTACGAGCGAGTGTGGTGTAGAATTTCGATTCGCGGTTCCGACGTCGGAGGCTTTTGGGCCTCTCGAGGAGTTAAGCAAGGTGATCCTCTTAGTGGACTATTATTCGCGTTCGCCTTCGACCCCATCCTTCGAGGCATTGCTGAATTAGGATATTCGCTTTCGGTGTATCCTACTGCATTCGCCGATGGTATTGTCGCTGCAGTTGCTGATCTAGTCCGAGCGCTCCCTCGTGTCGTGGAGATCTTAATGGCAGCAACGCCGTGCTCTGGTCTCGCACTCAACTTTCCGAAGCGCGTGATCGTGATTCCGCGGCCTTTTGACCCGCCGCAGATCATCACGCAGTGCTTGCAAGCTGGTCTTGATATTTCGGGGTGGAAGCTTAATCAATCTGGGATGTACCTTGGGGTGGAGGTGGGCTTGCATGCGCCGAAGACTGCGTGGCCCCGTGTTGGACAAAAGCTTCGCGCGCGGGGTGCCGAAGTTAAAGCACTGGGCACTGGTCTCACGGCTGCTTGTTCTGCGCGTAACATATTTGCTGGATCTGTTTGCTCACGCGTAGCAATCTCATATTGTCACGGGTGAAGCTTCAAGCCGAGAGCGAGAAGCACAGCAACTTCTTACGCGGGCCCCAAGGCGCAGCATCGCCCCCCCCCCCCCCCCCCCCCCCCTCCCCCCCCCCCCCCCCCCCCCCCAAAGGTCCTCTTACAGGCCACCCGTCTTGGTATGAAAAAACAGAGTGCCACTCCTTAGCGATCTCGGCCAAAGCAGCTATGATTCGTGCTGCTTTTCACTCTGACATGTTCCACAAACTGGTGAGTGACTGGAACACCAAAGTTGATGATGACGACTATTGTTTAACCTGCAAGTGGTCCCGCGCGTTCTCCGACTCCATTTTTTTCCAGATGTATAGGACGCTAGAGGAGCACGGGGCCAAGTTCGGGGCCGTCGATATCTCCCACGGGAAAACCACACAGAAGAAAGTCACCCTGGATCTAAAATCGTATATGGTGGATTTTACTGTGGGTCAAGTTTTGTCTCCTAGGATCTTGAAGGTGCATCCAGAGGCCTCCAGGAATGACATTGACTTGTGCGTTATTCGTCTGGGATGTATAGGTGACAAGTTGCCGCCCTTTATCCACACATCTGAACGGTCTGCAACGCATGGAACACTACACGGCGTCATCGGCAAAAAGTTGGCCCGTGTGTTTTCGGGTGCATGAATCTCGGTGCCGACTGTCTTGATCACTATGTACGTTGCCCTGTGATAGTTGAGTATGTACGTTCCCTCCTTCGATATCTACCCGTGAGCTGGGGCAATGATTGGTTGCAGGTAGCCTTCCCCCACCTCTGGCAGGCACGCACGTCTGATAGCCTCATGTCGCACGCAGTTGCTCTAGATTGTATTAATTCTGCATTTTGTGTTTGTCGCACCCGTCGCCCGTCGTCGTCTTTCGCCCGCGGCGCCATTCTTGCCCGGCTTCGTGCTAGCGCACGTCGGTCTCGGCAGGTGCGGGCCTCAGCCACTGGGCCGAGTGGGTAGGGATCGGGGCTCTCCCAGGGGTGCGCCTCCTCCTCCTCCTCCTCCTCCTCCTCCTCCTCCTCCTCCTCCTTCTCCTCCTCCTCCTGCTGGGCAACTTAGGATGTCATGCCATCTTGCGCCGTTGGTTCACCGCCATGCATCAAGGGCGCCCAGGCGCCTCCAAGTAGTGCTTCCCCAGCACCTCAACTTCGAGCCGATTGCCAAAGTTTTCTCCAGCGCTAGAAAGCGGCAGCCCCTTGCGTCAGCACTCTGAGCCGATTTGGCCACGCGGCAGAGGCCGAGTGCTGGAGGAACGGTGGGCGGTGCAGTGGAGGCCCATGCCAAGAAACACCCAGTTTGCCTCTAGTGTGCCCTGGGTTTGTTGGATTTCGGTGGTCTTGCTGTGGAAAGCGCGACGTTCGCATACCAACAATCAATGGACGACCCGGGGTCTCAGGGTTGGGTTTCTTGTGGACTGGCCTCCACTGTAAGGCAGGAGGGAGGGCAAGGGCCGCAGCGTATCCAAGAGGTCCGAGACGCAAGCATCCAGAGCGAAAGGGCGCCGCGAGCACGAAGGAGGGTGGGCCGCTCGGCTCGCGCAGCGCGACTCGCGGACCTGCACACCGTGCGCGGCGCTCTCGATATGTTTCCTGGTGCGGCAGGACGAACGCAATGCCTGCGGCGGCAGGGCGGTGGGGTCGCTCTGGCCTCGGCCTCCTGCGCAGGCCAGTTGAGGCGTCGTGGGCTGGGTATTATCGGAGGATTGCTGTGGGCGTCTAGGAGGTTGTTTGGGCGCCTGGTGGAGCCTATTTGAGACAGTTTTGAAGCGTCTCGGGGTCCTTGTTGGGGTTTCTCTTGGGCCTCGTGGAGGCCTTTTGGAGCTGATTGGGGGCCGCTTTTGGGCCGCTGGGGGACTTCTTGGGGCCTTTGAGGGGCTTCTGGGGGCGGATACGTATGATTTTCGATTCGTGTTCTCCCTCGTGATCTCTCTTGGGGCCCTTCACATACGTTCACCCCCTCCCTCCTCCATCCCGTACTGCTGCCAACTGTTACGCAACTTTTATTGCGACGACACGTATTACAACTACTATGACGACGACCGTTATGACGACGACGACGACTACTACTACTACGATTTCTAATACTACTATTACTACTACTACTACTACTACTACTACTACTACTACTACTACTACTACTACTACTACTATTACTACTACTACTACTACTTCTACTACTACTACTA